TTATGACCTCATGTAAAATAGAGGCCTCGTGTGATTTCAGCAAAAACCTTGGATAGAGTCCCATTAAAAACGTAACCTGCCATTTTATCTGTTAATCAACAGGTGGCGCTGTTTCTGAGTCGTGAATTAATGGAACTGTGTCAGGATAGATCCTGTGGTGCTCGAGACGTTAGATGTACACAGAGGAAGAAAACACAGAGTCTAGGTACAAAGAACAAAAATCCAGGGAACTTCCAGCAGCTGATAAACAGCACCACTCACCCAAGGCGCCTGCCCTGCTCCAACCCGATACAGGTGGTCATGACACAGCCACTGTGAGAATGGCTGACTGCCCACCCAGTTTCCCTATGCTTTTCCGCTGGGAAAAATGGTCATGGTGCAAACGCAAACGCTTTGGTCGGAATTTCAAACAGCGCTTCTGTGTGGTGTGGCAAGGCTTGTGCTCTGACTCGCACTGCCCAAGAACTGTGCTTAGAAAAGCAACTGCTCAGGAAAGATCAAACCAGGCAGGCAGAGACTGTCTGGGCCCATGGATCCTGGGAGGTGTGGAGTTTTTAGCTGCTGATTCCATGCACTGAGGAGGACCGCAGCAGAGGGAGGGCTCATGCCAAGCTGAGCTGGTGGCAAGCATCTGAGCTGGGGGGTGGGGGGGATGAAGGGATGTGGGGAGTGGTTCTCAAACCAATCGTTGGTCGCCAGATAAAGATCAGAACAAACCCACACCAGTTTGGAATTATTATTAAAAGTTTATTTATTTGACAGGAAAAAAACTACAGAAAAAACTACAGGAAAAAACACCATCCTACACTACCAGGATAGGAGTCTAGTAACTGGAATGAGAGTCCAGAGCAAAAGAGCAAGAGGAGGACTGTGGCTGCTTTTTAAGAGAAAGAGACCATTCCCCAGTGGGCTGGTATCTCAAAGGCTATTGGCTGAAGGAACGGAAGGAGCTCCTGCAGCATAGAGAATGATGTACACATTCCCAAGAGATGGGGTGTAGGTTGTTTGGGGGTAATCCAATGAATTATAGATTATTGTCATTTTTTAGAGTGGGGTTGGTCACAAGGTGTTATTGGTCATAGTAAAACAAAGCCAAACTAAAAAATTCAAGATGGGACATAAAATGTTCTTAGTAAAACAAAGCTAAACAAAAGAATTCAAAGATCTCTTTCTAAAGGGAAAAAGGAGATGTGATATAGAAATTATGAGATCAAAGGGTAGAATATTGAATCTACTTTAATCCATAAAACAACAATTAATCTCAAATATTTTATATTAGTATGGATTTTTGTTTGTCAATACAATTTAAAGTTAATTTTGTTATACTGTATGTATTTTTCTACTCCTAATTAAGGTATTGTATTTGTGCAGTTTTTTTAAAAATGCAATATATATCTAAGAAATGCAGACTAATAGTCATCTACAATAGTCAACATAGTAGAGATGTTAGGTTTGTTTTGTAGGCCATACACAGATATATTTAGATAGATAGACATCCTTTAGACACTACAAAGCCTAACAGAATATGACATATAATATGTTTAATAGTCTAACACTTTTTTATGACAGTGAGACACATCTGCTTCTTATAGCACCAATTTAATTCAAAAGAGGATAATGGGCATCAAAGAACCTCTCTGTAAAAAGTTTTCTTTATGAAAAAGTTAGTCATTTGGTCAAAGAATCTGTCCTTGTGGTAGTTTCTGACAATATATTGTCCAAATTGGATAAACAAGATGTAAAAATAGTGAGTGCCAAACTTTGCCAGGATGAGATATGAGAGTCCTTCAAAATTCCCTGCTACTCAGAATATCTGTCAGATAATACCACGCTTGTAGACCAAAGCTGAATGCCCAAGTTACAAAAGAATTTTGGGTCAATGTCCATGCAGCTAGCTGTCTTTGTCCTTAGGTGTCCTTATTCCCTTCTGGGACCTTTGAAGGAGTAAAAAACTAAATAATTTAACTTATGCTTTTTCTTAGTAATGATAAAAATTACATTAAGTATAAATCTTTAGATTTACAAATAAAAGATAGGTAATAGAGCATTTTCTCTAATTTTTCCAAATATAAATGAACTGAATATTATAAATGTAATTCTAACTTGATAACTGTTATTTATTAAGTAAGGATAATATAATATATAGCTTTTATGTTAAAGTTAAAACAATTTTTAATTAGACAAAAAAGGAGAAATGCTATAGTATAATCTTTTTGTACACTGTGAAGATGTGTTTTACCAAAATGCCTTCTGATTTGTTTAATAAAAGATATGACTGGGTGGTATCTAGGCAGGAGGTATAGATGGCACTGTTAGACACAGAGGATGCTGGGAAGAGAGGAAAGAGTGTAGGAACTTCCGAGAGACATGGAGAGAGAAGCAAAAGGAATGCTGTGTTGAAAGAAGGTACTCCATGGGGCAGAGTGTAAATAAGAAATATGGGTTAATTTAAATGTAAAGGACAACTATAAACAGGCCTGAACTAGAAACCAAGCATTTATAATAACAAGTCTCTGAGGGGTTATTTGGGATGTAGGACTCTCAGCTCCATGTTTATCTCTGTGTCTCCATGCTGTCCATTGTAACGATAATAGACTGATCCTCTGGAAATGCAAGCAAGCCCCTTCAATGAAATGTTTTCCTTATAATAGTTGCTATGGTTGTGATGTCTTTTCACGGTACTAGAAATCTAACCAAGACAGAAGTTGGTACCACGGGCTGGGGCATTGCTGTCATAAGCTTGACATGTGTTTGTTTGAATAACTTTTGTATTTTGACTTTGGAAAGCTGTGGAATGTTTTAAGCACTGCTTAATAGAAGAATATTGGACAATGGTGCTAATAATCATTTGAAATGTTGTGAGCAGGCTCAAGAGGTTTCAGATAAGACGTTTAGTATGTTGCCTAGAAATTGGTCCTGTAATATTTTGGTGAAGGAGATGGCTCCCTTTTGCCCTTGTTTGAAGAGTCTGCCTGAGTCTATAGTGAATATTTTTTGGATTAATTCTACTGCCAGAAGAAATCTCAAAACATACTAGTATATACTCTGTCATGTAAATATTAGTGGAAAATCTAATGAAGATTTATAATTAGCAAGCTGAGCAAGAGAAAAATATTTGAGGACAAGAAGAACATAAGAAAAATTAATGGATCTAAGTTCTTTGTTCAAGGAGATAAATATTTTAAAAAGGAATAAATGGAGTGGTGACCTCTGGTGCAAGATTCTACCTAGTTAAATTTCCAGTTTGAGAAAAGGTACTAAAGCAAACATTAGAGCTGGGTGTGGTGGGGCACACCTTTAATCCCAGCACTGGGAAGTCAGGAGATGACAGATCTCTGAGTTTAAAGCTGGCATGGTAACCTGGTATACAAAGCAAGTTTCAGAACAGTCATACTTAAGCAGTGAGAAACAGAAAGCTGGTGAAAATTTCATTAAAGGAGGTGGCCATGTTCCAGCACTAGTAAGCAGCAGAACTTGACAGATTCAGTCACATGGTTCTGACTTTAAGGATAAGGATAGAAGAAATGAGCTATAGAATAAAGCTACTGAGGCTCAACTTATTTCATGGGTATTCCTGGACTGAGGCAGTATAGAGAGAAAATTGTGTGAAGCTGTGAAGTTGAAATCTGATTTGCCTTGGAGAACATAAGATGATTGAGACGCCAAAGTTGTGTTATACCTGCCAAGGAGAGCTGCTAACAGAGAGTAAACCCAGCCCAAGAGAAAGTAATACATTGCAGTCAAACCTGAACAGAGATGGAGATCTGAAGAGCATTTTGACATCAGACATGGAGATGCAAAGTTTGGAGCTTTTCCAGATGGTTTTCAATCTTGCTTTCATCCAGTATTTCCTCATTGTGCTTTTTTCATTAAATTCAGGAATGGTCGTGTATATCCTGTACCATTATATGTTGGAAATCTGATTTGATTTTAATGGGAGTTACAGTTAAGAGATTGCATGAATATCAGGAGAGACTTTAAACTTTGAATTTATATTGTGATATATTACAGGGAGCTCTGAAATTGCTCTAAATGTATTTTGCATTATAACATGGCTATATAACTTTTGGGAACAGGGAGTATGATGTAGTAGTTTGAAAGAAAATAGCCCCTAAAGGAAGTAGCACTATTTGGAGGTATGGCCTTTTTGGAGGAAGAATGTCACTGTGGGGTAAGGCTTTGAGATCTCTTTTGTTCAAGCTTCCCTCAGTGTGACAGTCAACTTCTTCTTGCCTGTGAGTCAAGATATAGGACTCTCAGCTCCAGCATTATGTGAATGGAAACAACCTAAAAGTCCTTCAACTGATAAATGGATCATAGAAATGCCTAACATATATGCAGGGAATCTCCAGTCAGCCCATTGCAGACCATGACCCTCAGAAAACCCACCAAAGGTCAGTTCCTCCCTAGAAGATGATCAAGGACACAGTTACAGGATATTTAAGAACCAAAACCAACTAACAAACACACAAATAATCAGCAAGAAAAGCACACTCTTTTGAGTTTTTGGTTAGGCTTATCTTACAACATTCAAAATATTATAAACTAGTGCTATTGATTGTCCTTGATTGTCCCCAAAAGGAAAAAGATTAGTTCATATTGGTGAAGATACAATGTACTTTGTCATTGACTTAAAGAACCCTGAGCTAGAGCTGCCCTGAAAGCCTCCTCTTTGAGAATTAGCATTCATGGTATCAAAAATCACCTTGTCGGTCTCAAAGAAGAGAATCAACCAACAGTCCTTGCCCGGCTATGATACCTAAAAGAAAGCAAAAAAATTAATCTTTTATCTTCCTTGCTTAATAACTTGATTTCATATTGATACGGATTGAATAGGATACTAGCATAAATAAATTGAATGGTATTTTATTATTTAATAACTGTAAAATGATTAACTTAGAGTATTAATGTGTAAACAAGATTAAACATTGTTTATTTTGTTCCTCCTTCTATGACCTTTGAAATTTACCAAACTAGCTGCTGGTAATACACTGAAATTCAAAGTCATGAACAGTACTGTTAATGACAAGACTCCCAGAAACCCCACTACTGGAGACCTCTAAGATTTAAAAAATGAGGTGGTCTAGAGTATTGCTCTTAGGCAATGTTCTAATTCTAGGACTCTATACTGCCAAAGGAGAAGAAGGTAAGTGGAAAAAAAATTGTTTCCTGTAGTTCCTAGTCAAATGTGTTTATCTTCTGTATGTACATGAGAATATTTTTAATTCATTTTAATTTTTAATAAAATGTTGCAAACTGAAAATAAACTATAAAAATGTTTTAATGAAGACAGAAAACATTTTGAATGATAAAATACAACCTATCTATGGAAATACCTTCTGATAATCAGTAAGAGAAAAATTGAGTAAAGGGGATTTTCCCTCTTTTTTAAACTACAAAATTGTATATAGCCTCTAAATATAATTTTGAGAGAAAATTCATTTTAAAAATGTGTAAATTTTAAACATAGTAAGATTAATTTTCAAAATGAACTTCTAATTAAATTAAACAAAACCACTGGCCAGGGCAAAGCTCCTGACAGACTTTAAACACCTCTGAGACTGGGCAAGATTGATTTCATCTTCACAGATTTCATAACTTTTAACTTCCTAGTCATTAAAATGACTAACTTTTTCCAGTTCAAGTAAATCATCATTCATCAAATGTAAATATTTTTAATGAGACAATGAGGACTACTGTTACTTTTGTAATAAACCACTAACGTGCCAACAAAGTGCTCATTTCTGATCTCTCCAATGTATATAGAAAGTAGGAGAGTATAATATATCTGTATTAACATTGTGTCTAAAAAGGAATTATCAGCTTTCCCTTGATGCTTCATGAAGTCACCACATAAAGTCACTAAACCCACAGAATCACGAAAAATGATTTAAACAAGGTATAGGATTGTGGAATTTAGTCATTGTGCTTGATCCTGTTTTCAGGAAGTCTTTATTTACTATTTGTGGTCAAATTTTGTAACATTATTTCAGAGATTTAAACTTATTTTGTTGTGTTATGACTTTTTGTTGTAATCATGGGTAAGCATTCCTTTAAAAATAAAAATCCATCCTGCCAAATGACATAAATTTTTTTTCAAATTTTTGTACTTTTATAATTTTTGAGATTATAAAACAATTATATTTATTCTGTTCTTTTCTCCTTTCAAACCATCCCATATTTCCCTCTTTGTTCTCTGAGTCATAGTCTCTTTTTTCATTAATTGTTTCTTCATACGTGTATGTATATTTATTCTTATATATACGTATGTACATGTGTATATATTTTTACAGACATATATTATGTAACATACATATATAACTATATAATATGCATATGCATATATTTTATATACATCTGCTCAGTCTATTCAATTTGACCATAAATACTGTATATCTGGTATTCAGTAGAGTCTGGATAATGACTTACTATATGTAGTCCCACTTTTCCTTTTGAATTGAGTTTACACCATGTACAGGAAGAAAAGTGAAAGAATAAATAGCAAATACGGGGTACATAAAAAGATGACCGACGGACACACAGACAGAAAAGCACTATTGCAGGCTCCAGATGTCCAGCATTAATCATCTAAGGTAGCAGTAGCTAGTTTATGGCACTTATCTGGACTTCACCCCTGAGCGTCCCCTTGGAAGTGACTGGTAAGTAATAGAACAAACAACAACAAATGGAGACCATATGAACAAATGAGATGCTCATAATTTCCAGCAGAAAATAACTAAAATGATTAAAATAGTAAGCTGAAATTTCCAAATGTTCACCATTCCCCCCTCATGATAAACTTGCTTTGGCCAGTCTCACAGTTTTTCTCTGTTTCCCTGGGAATTCAAATGGGGAACTCTTGCTGGCTGCCTCAGACATGATTCCTCAATTTCTGATGGATATCTCCAAGAAAATTTGATGTTATTTTTATGATATTCTTATTCATTGCTTAAAAGCTTTGTGCAATAGGATATTTCTTTGTCCTTTGGCATTTTCTGCAGCCAATTTGATGAAGATTTGTTATCAGTCTTCTCACCTGTCTGTCTATATGTCTATCGGTCTATCATCCATTTATCTATTCTTTAAATGTATTATTTTTCTTTTTATGAAAAAGAAATTCTTTTCCCATGCAATAGATCTTGGTTACATTTTTCCTCTGCCTCTACTACTCCAAGTTCCTCCCCAGTTCCCGCCCTACCAAATTCACTCCCTTTTTGTCTATCATTAGAAAAAGAGCAGGATTCTAAAAGATAATAACACAACAAAATATAACCAAATAAATATAATACAGTAAAACAAAAGTATTGCACTGACTTTGGACAAGGCAAGGCAACAGAGGAATAAGAGCCCCAGAGAGGACCTGTGTTTCATGTTTCAGATTACATATGAGATTTTTTAAAATTTTATTAATTTTTATTGTACTCTATATTTTTCTCTGCTTCATTCCTTGTTTCTCCACTTCCCTTCAACCCTCTCCCAAGGTCCCCATGCTCATTCTCCAAATTTACTCAGAAGAACTTGTCTTTTTCTACTTCCCATGTAGATTAGATCTATGTATGTCTCTTTTAGGGTTCTCATTGCTCTTTAAGTTCTCTGCGATTGTGATTTGTAGGCTGGTTTTCTTTGCTTTATGTTTAAAAACTACTTATGAGTGAGTCCATATGATAATTGTCTTTCTGGGTCTGGGTTACCTCACTCAAAATTATGTTTTCTAGCTCCATCCATTTGCCTGTAAATTTCAAGATGTCATTATTATTTTCTGCTATGAAGTCCTTCATTGTATAATTGTACCACATTTTCCTTATCTATTCTTCAGTTGAGAGGCGTTTAGGTAGTTTCCAGGCTCTGGCTGAGACAAAAAAAATGCTGCTATGAACATAGTTGAGCACATGTGCTTGTGGCAAGATGGAGCATCTTTTAAGTATATACCCAAAAGTGGTATTACTGAACCTTGAGGAAGGTTGTTTCCTAATTTTCTGAGAAACCCCTACTCAGACATCCAAAGGGACTGTACCAGCTTGCCCTCCCACCAGCAATATAGGAGTGTTCCATTTACTCCATAACCTCTCCAGCATAAGTTGTCACCAGTGTTTTTGATCTTGGCCATTCTTACAGGTCCAAGATTTGGAATCTCAGAGTTGTTTTGATTTGCATTTCTCTAATGACTAAGGATGTTGAGAAATTTTTTAAATGTCTTTAAGCCATTTTAGATTCCTCTATTGAGAGTTCTCTGTTTAGGTCTGTATTCCATTTTTTACTGGATTATTTGTTTTTTTGTTTTAGTTTTAGGTTTTTTTTTTGATAACCAATTTCTTGAGTTCTTTTTATATTTCAGAGATAAGCCCTCTACCTGATGTGTGGTTATTAAAGATCTTTTCCCATTCTGTAGACTGTCATTTTGTTTTATTGGCCATGTCCTTTGCTTTATAGAAATTTTCAGTTTCAAGAGGTCCCATTTATTAATTGTTTCTATCAGTGTCTGTGCTAATGGGGTTGTATTAAGGAAGTGGTCTCCTGTGCCAATGCATTCAAGTGTACTTACTTCCAACTTTCTTTTCTATGATGTTCAGTGTGGCTGGCTTTATGTTGAGGTCTTTGATCCTACTACAGAGCTACAGTACTGAAAACAGCCTGGTATTGGCATAAAAACAGACAGGAGTATCAATGGAACTAAATTAGAGGCCCAGATATTAACCCACAACCTGGGAACACCTGAATTTTGACAAAGAAGTAAAAAAATCAAATGGAAAAAATAAAGTGTATTTCACAAATGCTGCTGGCATTACTGGATACCAACATGGAGAAGAGTGGAAATAGATCTATATCTATAACCATGCACAAAACTCAAGTCCAAATATATCTCAGAGTAACTCTAACCAAAAAAGTGGAAGACTTGTATGACAAGAATATTAAATCTTTGAAGAAAGAAATTGAAGAAGACACCAGAAAGTGGAAAGATCTCCTATGCTCTTAGGTAGATAGAACTAACATAGTAAAAATGGCAGCCTTACCAAAAGCAATATACAGATTCAACGCAACTCCCAACACAATTCTTCACACCTCAAAAGAATGGTATTAAATTTCATATGGAAAAGTAAAAAACCCAGGATAGCCAAAACAATCCTGTACTAAAAGAACTTCTGGAGGAATCACAATCTCTGGATTCATATAAGATTTATTCAGTTGATTGGGGGCACTGATCTACCAGTATAACAGAATACCATTAGGAATCATTTTATTATTTTATTTAAGAACTGTATATTTGATTTTATGTTTTATCTCTGGGCTATCTAGTCTCTGGCTCTTGTCATCCAGAAGTATTGATATGAGTTCCATCTGAGTCTTTATAAAAAATCAGACATTGTTTGGTGACTCCTAAAAGTGGCATGCCACTATTGCCATGGCATATTTGGCAGGCAGGACAGTATTGTATATCAAGGGTTTTGTGGTTGGGATGGTGTATATGTTTTTCTTTTGATATCCTGGAGAGCAATTTCCTCTAACAGAGTCAATAAGACATAGGGATGAAGGTTTTATGTAGGCACTAGCTTGTCATCTCCATGATCAGTGAGTGGTATGGGTGCTACCTTCACCAACGGTACCTTTTCATCAGTTTGGGAAGAGGAACCTATTGCCTTAACAGCTTGGGTCATTAGGGACTTTCCATGGGACCCACTAGTACAATAACTCAATTGGATGTAAACTAATCCCAAACTGAAGCTTCACTGGGTGACAAGAAATGGGACTCCACCCACACAATTTAGGAACTTCATCAGGATCACACACATATCTTTTAGGAAGATTGCAGTACAGTAAATATCCATATCACCCTTTAAATGCCCCTCAATTTTAGCTGTCTCTCCTTGCATTCCACTCCCTTCCCACCTGATCCTCCAGTTCCAGCTGACCCTGCCCCCAATTTCACCCATAAAATCTATTCTATTTCCCCTTATAAGGAAATCCATGTGTTCTACCATAATCTTTTTCGCTATACTGAATCTATATGGATCTACATATTATATCGTGATTATTATTTATTTAATGACTAATACCAGCATATTAGTGAATAAATACCATATTTATCTTTCTGGTCTATGAAAAAATGTGTTGGAATTTTGATGGGGATTGCATAGAAACTATAGATTC